AAATGGTGCAGGAGGAAGAGGGCGTTTGGGTGAATGTATTAAAGAGAGAGTAAGGGGAAAAAGTTACATTAAAGAATTTTTTAAAAAGTAAAAGGAGCAAGGGGGGGAAGAGTATAAAAAAAAGAGAAAGTTAAGAGAGGGGGTGAACCCAATAAAAAGAGAGAAAATGAAGAGGGGGTAATGTTATCAACAAATTTTGTTGAAAATAAAAAAAATTTTTGGGTGAGATTAACAATTTAAGAAGCCTAGAGAAAAAATGGATTGCAGTTAAAAAAAGAGAGGGGGAGTTATTAAAAAGGAGAGTTAGAGGGGATTGGAAGATGGAAGGAATATTTTGAGGAATGTTAAATTTGATGAAGATAGGGGAAACTGTGATTTCTTATGGGGAAGGAGGGGAAAAACATCTTTTTTGGAGTAGGGAAAAGCCCCCGTTTTTAGTGTGGGGGGAATTCGTGAGGGAGTAGTAAAATAAAAGGGGGGAAAGGGACCGGGGATTGTGGGTAAAGATAGAAATGTTAAAAACAGGGGGGGATATAGTTTTGGAGTGGTTGGTCAAAATTTTTTAAAAAATGTAGGAAGAGGGTAAGGACCTAGGGGTTGGCAAGAGCATGCAAGTTCCTTTGTAAAAGGCAAAGGGGATAAAAGAGAGTGCAAAAATTATAGGGGGATAATCTGTTGAGTGTACCTGGAAAAGTGTTGTAGATTTAAAATTTTAAAAGAATTAAGATAAGAGGGAAAAGGATAGCAGATGAACAAGACTTAGGAAAGGTAGGGGGTTGTGGACCAGTGTTTACAGTAAACATAAAAGTGAACAGTATTTAGAAAAGGCAAAGAGGTCTTTGGGGCATTTATGATTTGGAAAAAGGCTATACAGGGGGATAGGGGGCAATGTGGCAGATGTTCAATGTAGGTGTAGGAGGTAGGTTACTGAAAGCAGTGAAGATTTTAACAGGAATGGGGCTCAAGTTAGAGTATGTGGGAAAAGGGGGAAATTTTTTCCCATAAAAGTAGGCCTTAGACAAGGATGTTGATTCACCGGGTTGTTTAATAATTTATAGTGGGTTTAAGAAAAAAGCAGGGTCTTGCAAAGGCGTGGTTAAAAGATAAAGAATCACACACAAAGGGGGAGTTGTCACAGCTGCTTTTTGTGATGACACTGTGCTTTTGGGGAATTCTGAAGAAAAGTTTCAGAGATTGGGGGATAATTTGGTAGGTGTGCAAAAGAAAAAATTAAAGGTAATACAGGAAAGAGAAGGTTAGAGGAAAACAAAAAATTAGGTGATAAAAAATGAATATCAATTGGAAAAGGAGTAGGAGGGGGTGAACTATTCAATATTTGGGAGTGGAGTGTCAGCGGAGGGCTATAAAAGATGAGGTAACATAAATTGTGGGGAAAAGGAGGGTGGTGCACTTAGGATTTGGGAAAAAGAACTTTGCCTTTGGAGGAAAAGAGGGAAGTATGAGGTATATTTTTTAACCAACCTTTTATATGGGGTGAAGCGTGGGTATGAATGTTCAGCGAGGAAAAGGGGCTGGGGGCATGGAGATTTAGTCTGGGGGAAAAGTGTGGTGTGAATATAAAGCAGAGAATTCGTAGTTTGGGAAATTTGGAGGAGGGCGGGGTTCCAAAAATTTGTCCAAGGGCGAGGGGGGTTTTGAGGTGGTTTGGGCATTAAGAGAATGGAGCGAAACGAATGACTTCAAAAGTGTATCATCGTAGTGGGAAAAAGGCGGGGGAGGGGGCGGGCCCAGAAGGGTTGGGGGAGGGGGGAAAGGGGGTTTTTTTGTGCGAGGGGGTTGGGCTTCCAGCAGGGATCGTAGCGTGTTTTTTAGGATGAATGGAGACAAATAATTTTAATACTTGAGTTTTTGGATGTGAGCAAAAACATTTATGAAAGGGTTCAGGGAAACCGGGAGGCCGCTTTAGTCCTGAATGGGAAGTACATGCCTGCACTCGAAGGGGGGTGTAAATTTCAGTTTAAAAACTGAGTGAAAGCACCCTTTTGGCAAACATGGGAGTGAATGATGGGAAAGTTTTTCTTTTTCGGGCCCCCCTCCTTGGGGGAATCGGCCGGGGTGATAAAAAAAAAAATAAAAAATATGATAGATGGATAGAGGAGCAATGTGGCAGATGTTCAAGTTTATGGAATAGTGGTAAGTTACTAAATGCTGTAAAGAGCTTTTATGAGGATAGTGAGGCTCAGGTTAGGGTGTAGAAGAGAGGGAGAATACTTCCCGGTAAAAAGTGGGTCTTAGACAGGGATGTGTAATGCCCACCATGGTTGTTAAAATATTTATAGATGGGGTTGTAAAAGAAGTAAATGCTAGGGTGTTCGGGAGAGGGGGGGGATTAAATTTGGGGAATCAATTTCAAAATGGGAATTGACACAGTTACTTTTTGCTGATGATACTGTGCTTATGGGAGATTCTAAAGAAAAAATTGCAAAGGTTAGTGGATGAGTTTGAGAATGTGTGTAAAGGTAAAAAAGTTGAAAGTGAACATAGAAAAGAAATAAGGTGATGAGGGTATCAAATGATTTAGATAAAGAAAAATTGGATATCAAATTGGGAGGAGGAGTATGGAAGAAAATGAATGTTTTCAGATACTTGGGAGTTGACTTTTCGGCGGGTGGATTTATGAAGGATGAGGTTAATCATAGAATTGATGAGGGGAAAAAAAGGGGAGTGGTGCGTTGAGGTATATGTGGAGTCAAAAAAAAGTATATCTATGGAGGCAAAGAAGGAAGTTTTGAAAATATAGTAGTACCAACACTCTTATATGGATGTGAAGCTTGGTGGTAAATGCAGCAGCGAGGAACGGTTGGAGGCAGTGGAGATGTCCTGTCTAAGGGCAATGTGTGGTGTAAATATTATGCAGAAAAAATTTGGGGTGTGGAAATTAGGAGAAGGTGTGGAGTTAATAAAAGCATTAGTCAGAGGGCAGAAGAGGGGTTGTTGAGGTGGTTTGGTCATTTAGAGAGAATGGATAAAAGTAGAATGACATGGAAAGCATATAAATCTATAGGGGAAGGAAAGAGGGTAGGGTCGTCCTCGAAAGGGTTGGAAAGAGGGGGTAAAGGAGGTTTTGTGGGCGAGGGGCTTGGACTTCCCAGCAAGCGTGCATGAGCAATGTTAATGGGAGTGAATGGAGACAAATGATATTTGGGACCTGACGATCTGTTGGAGTGTGAGCAGGGTAATATTTAGTGAAGGGATTCGGGGAAAACCCGGGTTTTATTTTCATATAGACGGACTTGAGTCCGGGAAATGGGAAGTACAATGCCTGAAACTTTAAAGGAGGGGTTTTTGGGATATTGGCAGTTTGGAGGGATATGTTGTGTATCTTTAATACTATATGCTTCTAAAACTGTTGATTCTGAGCACCTCTGCAAAAGCAGTGTTTAATGTGTGAGTTGTGGTGAAAGTGTTGAATGATGATGAATGTATTTTCTTTTTGGATTTTTCTTTCTTTTTTGGGTCACCCTGCCTCAGTGGATACGACCGACTTGTTGAAAAAAAAAAAAAAAAAAAATCCATTTGTTCTCTAGGCTTCCTTAACTTGTTAATCTCACTCCAAAACTTTTTCTTATTTTCAACAAAATTGTTGATAACATCTCACTCACTCTCTCATTTTCTTTTTACATTGCTTCACCACTCTCTTAACCTCTCCTTTTTCTCCATGTTTTCTTCCCTCCTTGCATCACTTCTACTTTGTAAAAACTTCTCATATGCTAACTTTTTCTCCCTTACTACTATCTTTACATCATCATTCCACCAATCCCTCCTCTTCCCTCCTGCACCCACTTTCCTTAACCACAAACTTCTGCTGAACACTCTAACACAACATTTTAAACCTACCCCATAACCTCTTCGACCCCAAATTTACTATGCTCACATTACCCCCTCATCTTCCAATAGCTGTTTAATATCTTACCCTAAAAAGCCTCCTCTTTTAGTTATAAACCTTCACACCTCTCCTTCCCTGAGCTTCTATTCTCCTGTATCCCAACTACCTTTATTCTCAGTGTAAGCACAACTAAAAAGTGATCTGATATATCTGTGGCCCCTCTATAAACATGTACATCCTGAAGTCTACTGAACAGTCCTTTATCTACCAATACATAATCCAACAAACTACTGTCATTCGCCCTACATCATATCTTGTATACTTATTTATCCTCTTTTTCTTAAAATATGTATTACCTATAACTAAACCCCTTTCTATACAAAGTTCAATCAAAGGGCTCCCATTATCATTTACACCTGGAACCCCAAACTTGCCTACCACACCCTCTCTTTAAAAAGTTTCTCCTACTTTAGCATTGAGGTCCCCTTCCACAATTACTCTCTCACATTCACTTAACATCTCCCAAAAATCTCTCTCTCTCCTCTACATTCCTCTCTTCTCCAGGTGCATAACACGCTTATTATGACCCACTTTTGCATCCAACCTTTACTTTAATCCACATAATTCTTGAATTTACACATTCATATTCCCTTTTCTCCTTCCATAACTGATCCTTCAACATTACTGCTACCCATTCCTTAGCTCTAACTCTCTCAGATACTCCAGATTTAATCCCATTTATTTCCCCCCACCGAAACTCCCCTACCCCCTTCAGCTTTGTTTCGCTTAGGGCCAGGACATCCAACTTCTTTTCATTCATAACATCAGCAATCATCTGTTTCTTGTCAATCGGATACCGAGGCAAAATTTTTGCGTTAAAATGCATCGAATACCGGATTTATCGAATACCGATGCCATCGAATACCGGGGGTCCACTGTACTAGCAATCAAGCTAAGGGGCACCTTAAGAAATGATACATTAAAAATAAACGAATGTACATAAATTATCTGTGAATGGTACAATTAAATAATAAGTCATAAATCCTGCTGCTTAGTATGTGTGTATGTTTATCGTGAAGGGTAATGTATAGGGTACTGCTTAGAAACTTTATTAATATTTAAATTTTGTAATAAAATATTTACCAAATTTCAGTGGACGAGTGGTGAGTGAAAGTGAAATAAGTGCTGCAGACTTCCTCATCAACAGTGTTGGTCAGAACACTTCTAAGCTCTACACTGATGCTATCCTCAAGATTCCTGACATAAGCACATCAATGATTACCCAGCTCACCACAGATATTGGTAAGTTTTACTTGAAATTCAACACCCATATCCACCACATAACAAAAAAGTATCCAGAACAGTTGTAATCCTCTCAGAGATACGTTATTTTGTACCACACACATCTCTACTTACACTGTACTATTCACTGATTTACCTCTACCTCACCTATGCTATTTGTGCCTGAGGATACCCAACAGCAACTCATCTAAAGCCAATAATAACCCAACAAGAAGCTGCAGTACGTATGATGATCACACAGTCCACTGCTAGACAACACACCCCTCTTCTCTTCAAAGACCTAAACCTACTCACTATTCAAAACATTCACTCTTACTGCTGTGCAACCTACATTTTCAGAGCAATAAAATCTGATATAAATCCCGAACTGAAGCAGTTTCGTGATAGTTGCAACAGGACCCATAGACATAATACTAGGCACAAAAATCTTTATGACATTGCCCCATGTCTGGCTAAATCTCTTCAAAAATTCAATGTACATAAAAGGGCCCAGAATCTGGAACTCTCTGCTAGAAATCCCCAGAACCACTGACTCGGCCAGTATTTTGAAAACTACCGTTAAAAAACATCTCATCTCCCTAACATCCTAGCATCAGCTAAATGTGTAAAAGCTTTAAATGAATATTCTCAGTGTCATGAAAATATGTAAAATATTATGAACAACATATGCTTATTCTCACTATCTGGAACCCTCCCAAACCTGTAATTCTCTCCATTACACTTATTAAAGCCATATAGAATGAACTAATACGATATTCAGTTATTTTGTATTCGTTTGTATTCCTAAATATACAACTTATTGTTATTGCCCTCTTAATCTTAAGTTAGTCTTAAGTTTGCCCTAAATACTCTGCATATACAGGGGCTTTCAGCATGTACACCTAATGTCATTCATTCTCTTTTGCACAACAACAGTATCATGCTGAAATAAAATATATTACAGTGGACCCTCGACTAACGATATTAATTGGTACCCAAGAACGATGATCGTTAGTCAAGTTTTTTTAACGTTAGTCGAGGCAACATGTTAGCGTTAACATGCATCGTTAGTCGAATTTAACATTAGTCGATGCCATCGTTGGTTGAGGGTCCACTGTATTATTCTTTCAACAAACTGCCGTATCCCATTGAGGCAGGGTGGCCCGAAAGGAAAAATGAGAGTATTATAACATGATTATTATTATTATTCTTAAATGTGTTCGCCAAATCACTGGCCTTTTGGTTACCAGAATAAAACTAGATGCATCATTTAAGAAAAATAATAGACCAGGATCTCTCCAGCTTAGAGCAGAGACCAAATACTGCGACAGGCATTTTCTCATTCTTTCATCCTGGGATTTCAGTTTTTCTTTACCTAGGCTAAAAGCTATTCAGTATTATATTTATGGGGAAGGGCCTAGGGAATAGGAGGTAATCAGGTTTGATTTGAGGAAGGGGAAGGTAACTAATTCACTGTATTAAGAGCCCTTTACTGGCATTAAGGCACTCCTCTCAAAGGGAGCTGTTTAATGGACTTATTTTATTGCTACACCTTCCAGTGATTTGAAATTTTTTATTTTGTATTGGAATTTTATTGTATTGTATTGCAACTTTTTTTCTGTTTCAGTTATTGTTCACTCATTATAAAAATTTTCCTAGTGCTCTCATATTCTAGGATAATTATTGGAATGAATCTTTTGTATGTCATTTTGTTGGATGCTTTTGTAACAGACATCAAAACAATTAGATCATCATCTTTGTAACTTTGTAGTTTTAAGATATAAAAGCAAATTTGATAGACAAGATTTGATTTCCATTAATGTATACTGTGATGTTTTGATTAGATTGTGCACTAATAGATAGTTGATGATTGCTTCCCCATAATCTCTTAAAAAAAACATGCAGATATGGAAAGCTATATTCATTGGGTGGTAGTTTTCTGTTATCCCTCTACTTCAAAAAAATTAGTGTATTTCTTCACCTTAAAGGTTTTTAATTTTCAATTTAGATAAATAAAAAATTAATAAATAATTTTAATTTAAGTTGAAGATTGAGACACTTATGCAACATATGGGAGTCTTTATTGAAGAAACTTTTTGCCACACAGTGGCTTCATCAGTCCAATACAAAGCAGAAAGGTGTAAGGAGAGGGGGAGTTTGAGGTAATCAGTCTCCCAGCCTGGAATCGATGTGTTCAGTCCATCACTCTTGTAGAAGGTACCTTTCTACTTTTCTACAAGAGTGATGGACTTCATCAATTCCAGGCTGAGGGACTGATTACCTCAAACTCCTCCTCTCCTTACACCTTTCTGCTTTGCATTGGACTGATGAAGCCACTGTGTGGCAAAACGTTTCTTCAATAAAGACTCCCGTATGTTGCGCAAGTGTCTCAATCTTCAACTTGTTGGTTTTCAAAACCATTTATCACATTAATTTAAGATGCACTTAAGCATTAAATTTATAATATATATGTATTTTAACCTAATTTTAAATTTTCAATATTAAGATTTCTGGGTAAACATTACTGAGATGGCTTTTTTGTTTTATCTGCAATATATGCTGGCCATGTATGTATGGAAGGAACCTGGTAATGTATGTATGGAAGGAACCTGGTAATGTATGTATGGAAGGAACCTGGTAATATATGTGTATAGGGAAGGAACTTGTTAATACATGTTTGATAATTTCCACAGATTATATTTGTAATATCTTGGAGGACCTGGGAGTGAGCACTTGTGAGCCACTTGATAAACTGAACACCCTTTTGAAGACTCCTGCTGACCGGTACTGGAAAATAGCTCCTGGAAATAACCCAAGACTAATTGCTGCTGTGAGACAGATGCGAAATATTCCTGTACAGTCTTAAATTTATTTTTGTGCTGTTAGGAAACTTCTTGCTTTAAATTTGATATTTGCATGTAACATTTTGCATAATTTTTTTAATATATTTGTATTTGTGTGTAACTTCAGAAATATATTTTACACCTGAGAATCTAAGATGAATAAAGAACCACGGTATAGGCGGGGATTGAACTTGCTTCTAGTGAGTTGTAAAACTCCAGACTGGCATATTAGCCACTGGGCCAGCTGGCTACAATAAAATTTGTCTAACTAGGTATATATGTACACCAAAAGAAGATTAGAGTGTTGGGTGAGTTGAAGAAGTCCTCTTCAGCTTGCTGATGGACACCAGTTCCAGCTCACAGTCACCAGCATCATCTTTTTTCTCCATGGAAGTGGAACAGAATTCTTCTCGCGTAAGCCATGCATGTTGTAAGAGGCAACTAAAATGCCAGGAGCAAGAGGCTAGTAACCCTTTCTCCTATATATGTTACTAAAGTTAAAAAGAGAAACTTTTTTTTTTTTTTTTTTAAGCCACCTGCTTTGGTGAGATACAACCAGTTTGTTGAAAGAAGAAAAGGAAGGTTAGCATAAGCACCACTGTGACCACAAATGCAAGTTTTCACGATGAATCTTCCGCCAGTGTGCCCATGATGAACTCTAGCTCAAGTTCCGTCAAAGCTGTCATCACGGCTCCCGAAATCATAATGACGTGATTGGAAACAAACCACTTTACAGGCATGGATTGAACTCTCAGCTAGTGAGTTGCAAAACTCCAGATTGGGGACTTGAGCTAGAGTTTGTCACTGCCATGCTGGCGGGAGATTCATTTGTAATAACTCGCATTTGTGGTCAAAGTGGTGCCTATGCTAACCTTCCTATGGTGTATAAATATACCTAGTTGGATGAATTTTAGTGTAGCCAGCTGGCCTAACGGTTAAAGCACTGGTCTGGAGTTTTACGAGTCACTAACCACGAGTTCAATCCTCGCCTGTACCACGGATTTTTTGCAGTCATGTCATTACAATTTCATGAATCATGAATAAAGAACAGAAATACCAAACCAGTGGTAAATATCTTTATTAATATCTAAACACCATCTGTTATTCCAGTGTTTCAAAGTATCAATCCATAATCAGTGCTAAAATTATTAAGAACAATTGCCAAGCAGAATAGCTGGTCTGTATCAAAAGCAAAAATGTTCTGTTTAAATAAAGTCATCAGATTATATATATAATTAAGGTACACAAGTAAACTTAACAATATTGCAGTGTCTAGTCTAATATACTTTTTTTTCAAAAGAGAAATGAAAGTTTCTCTTTTTACATTTAGTAATGTATACAGGAGAAGGTGTTACTAGCCCCTTGCTCCCAACATTTTAATCGCCACTTACAACATGCATGGCTTACGGAGAAAGAATTTTGTTCCATTTCCCTATGAAGTTAATATTTATACATTGTGTGAATGTAATGGAGTTGCTCAGTTGAGGGCTTATTCTATAGAACTGTACAGGGATTCAGAGATGATGTCTAATCTCTTATATGATGCTGTTAAAATTTTGAAATATTCAGATGTAAGAGGATGATTGTTTAAGTGAAAGTGATTCCTAATTGCATAATTAGATGTTTTAGACAAAGGAAGGCCAGTTTGAAACATATAGCTACATTGTTCCATATTTGCTTTCACTTATCTAAACTACTTAATCTTGCAATCAAGGATCATTGCCTCTTCAACAGCCATCCTCTTATATCTGAGGATATCACAGTTTTGACAGCAACATCAAAGAGATCAGACTCATCATTTCCAAATCCCTGTACAGTGTTAGAATAGTCTCATCTGAACATCTCCATTACATCTGTTCAGTTGTTCATGCAGTGAGCCATTTTATACGTGAGTACATAACTCTGTGTTTGTATAAATATTAGGTCAGATATTGTAGTACTGTTAGGGTTGTGTGTGTGCCTTAAATATATTTTAAAACTGATGACTTAGTTTTAATAGAAGAATTTTCTTTTGTTGTAGATCTGTTAATTTGGTATATCTGTTCCTTATTCATCTTATATTTAAGTACAGTTTTGCCTTCTTTCACAAATTCAGACGAGTTTTTATCATTTCACTTTATATATCTACCGTGTAGTGAATTCTTATTCAGAATGATGTATGCTCTGGGGGGGGTGTTTGGATTTAAAGAAATTGAGATTTTTTTTTAATCACCTTGCCAGACATTATTGCATTTGATTTCTCTGGTAATCTCTATTAATTCAGATGTATTAACACCCCTTAATGCAGGTGAGAGGCTTATGATCCAAGGAATGTGACCCATCTTCCCTTTCCTTGGATTGAACCTGATTGCCTCCCATTTCATTAGGTAGTGTGTGTGACCTCTGTGGATTTAGTGCTTCTCCAGTGAATGTAATAATAATAATAATAATAATAATAATAATAATAATATACTGTGGAACCACTTTGAAGAAGTTCTGACGGCTGTGTCTTCAACATGAGAGACTTTTTCAAGCTAAGTGTTTTTACATTCATCTTCATAAGTAATGTTTTATATATAGTTATTACAGCTGTTAAAATCTGTTCCTTGTTATCTTATTAAAATATGAAACAGTGACAATGTAATTCAATCATATTCCTGCAACTACAGGCAGACTTGAAACCTTATGGCAGAGATCACTGGTTGTAAGTCATTTATTTGTCAGCTTATCAGCTGTTGTCAGACTTTCTCAGAAAGTTTCAAAATATGGAAATAAATTATTTACAATGGAAATCCCTTGGTGCTGGTGAAGGGATCTTGGTCTAAGAAATTTGACTTATTCTCCCCATCCTCAGATCAAACCCAATTAACTCTCATTTTCCAGGTGCCATATGACTAAAATGTTTTTATCACTTCCCAGGGTAATGATGATAAAGAGTGGAAATAAAGCCTCTGAATGAAAACAGGAGCAAGCATTGCAAAATGCAGCCATGATGGCCATCCCAGCTTGATGAACATGAATTCAACTTATTATTGTGTGTAACACATTTATAAACACAAGTGTGAATGGTTGGGTATACATAAGTAGGAACTGCCTCGCATTGTACATTGTCAAGATATTGTGTGCTTGTACAGTAATTATTGGCAATTGTAGAATTATTCAAGGCACTGATTATTTAAACAAAAATGTTATTCAACTGCTGTATTTATAATGTAAATAAATTAACAACATCTGCTCTCTTCACTGTATCTTTTCTTCCCTTTACCCAAGGGCTGATTCCTTTCCTTGGTAATGCTTTGACTGGGATTATCCTTGCCAGGGTGGTTGTTGCCTTCCATTATTGATGAAGTACTGTCCTTGTACATTGTCTTTTCTCTTTCATGGAAGTTGATCCTGGTTTGGAGTTGCAGCTTTATGGTGGGCAGCACAATTCTTTGGTGGATGGCTAGAGATAAAATGGGAAGTTCAGTTTTGGTTCCACCTTAATCAGTTGACTGGTAATGATCATTCTTTTACAGTATAATGCTGGGTGACTTAGGCTGATCCACTTGTGTATTTGCTTCCCTGACTTGCAGTTCAAGGGCTTTCTTTAGTTTGTAGTTGCCTCGTGAAATTCAGAGCACCTTAAGCAAGTGAATGTGAGTGGTATCAAATGAGTGGGATGACGATGTGCCTGTTGGTAGTCTGATGGAGAAGTGTATTAGCCATTAGGCAATCTGCAATGGAGAAGTACATTTGCCTATTGGCAGTCTGCACTGGAGAAGTATATTTGGCTAGAGTTAGTTAAGTATCATAGAGGTATGCACCCTTTTGATCCTGTGGCCATTTCTTATCTCTGGTACTTGGTTATGCAGTACCTCTCAGTTAACCTTGGAGCATTAGTATGCTTAATGCACACTTATTAGATTTGTGGGGCAATGAAAAGCTCAAGTTTATAGGCTACTGGATAATACCTCTCCTAGTGTTCACAAAGTGGGTGATCAAGCCTGTGAGTCTTCCATCTCTGGAAGTTTCACTCCCAATTGACCCCTCTTTTAGGGGGGCTCCTTCTCATGTTAAAGAGGCTATTGGTCTGAGGAATTGGACCTTTCAATCTTCTTCCTCTGACCAAGCCCAATCCCACCTTCCCTGTCCCATTCTTCCTATCCCTCCTTTCCCATTCCTCCTCCTTTATCCATCCCTCCTCCTTTTCCCATCCTTCCCCTCTCCTTTTCCTGTTTTCAGCCTTTGGGTTCTCCCCTCAGGCATTGTGGTTCCTAGGTTGGGGAAAGGGTATTGTTGTTCATCCCATTCTGTTGAGGTCCTTGGTAGTTGTGTAGTTTGCAGTGGAATCTGGATCATCTGGGGATGTCCCGCTCCCTCTGGTCTCCAGGGGGGGGGCTTTGGGTGTCTTTTGGGTGATGGGTGTATCTCTGGAGTCTTCCTGTCAAATTCCAGGTAGTGGTGGCCAAAGGAGGTATGCCTTGTGGTGGATATTTAACTGCCCTCTCTTTTGTCCACTGAGGTGGCTCAGTAGATGTGAGGTTGCTATCCTGGATTGCTGGTTTACTGGCATGACGGGTAGGGTATAGCATGGGTTCCATGCTGCATCTGCACTTCTGGCTGCACTGAGACCCTCTTAGGTGTGGAGTGGGATTTACGGTCCTTTCATTCCTCCTAGGAGCTATTTCTCTACATTCCCCCCACTCCCCTTTTTTCCTTTTTTTTGGTAAACAGAAAGAAAAAAAAGTGACATAACCATGGAGTCCCAGATCCATGAAATTTCTCCACCTGGGCCCTTTCTGCTGAAGCACCCTCTTATGACCTAGCTTCATTATTGGACCATTCTTCGACCTTTCCAACATTCCAGGACCTTCTGTGAGTAACATTTTGTCGCTCCCTCCTAGTACTAAGGTTCCCCTGACTCCTTTGATATATCCGACCTCCACATATCTTTGACCTTGCTTCTAGCTTCTCCCACTATGGTGCGACTATTTTCAGATTGCCCACCCATCTTAGGATGGACCACCTCTGGTCCCGCACCTAAATGTCCACGACATTTAACTAATGACACTGCTTTGATTACCTCTCACTCTACCCAGAAAAGACGAGCATGACACTACATATCAAAGGACTAAGTTTTTCACTCTGCAACCAACCTCTCCCACTAACTATCTTTCTGTTTATAGTATCAGTAAGGCACTCCTTCACCACATTTGTCAAAATATTTCATTTCATGCTCTTAAGAGCATGCTGGCCAGGCTCACAATCTTTCCCATCTTACGTCCACAGATGCTATTCCTGTAACAATTTGAAAAAGCATTTCTCTCGATTCTTGTAGTGGTACCTTCATTCTGTCTCGTGGCATTGTTCAGCATTATTTCCAGACATGTGATGATGACATTCTGGAGTAACTTGAGTTCCAAGACCTCCCTATTCTCAAAGTGGACACTTATGTACTACTTGCTCATGGGTGGAAACGCTTTCCCTGGAATGTAGCTCGCTTGACTTTTGACTACCGTTAGCTTCTGTCCTTGGTTTATGTTACAGAACACTGTTTACAAGTCCGAGAGTTGATCCCTACACTACAACTGTGTAGAAATTGCTGGCATTTTGGCCATCTAACGAAATATTTCAGGTCCATGGCAGAATGTCCAGTCTGTGGTGCTACTGACCATAGCAATACATCATGTAGCCTACCTCCTCCTTGCCTTAATTGTAATGAGGCTCACCCAGCTTATTCTTGTCGTTGCCAAGTTTACTTGAAAGAACAAGAAATCTGCTGTCTCAAAGAGAAAGAAGGGTTCACTTTGCCATGACGATCTCTCATCTCCACCTCCAAGGGAGACTTCCATGTCTTTCTTATTCTCGAGTTACTAAGAGACCTCCAATCTCTGCAGTACCTACTTCCACAATTCCCTCTGTGGTCATAACTTTCACAGTCACCTCTGTTTCTAACTCTTTTGCAGCCCTGGCCTCCGAGGTCCCTACCTCATTGCCTCAAACTGTCCTCGAGTCATCTTCTTGTTCAAATGTTTCTATGTCTACAAGACCTCTCACAGCTACACCATCCTTTTGCCTCTCTACTTCTTCTAAGTCCCAAAGTTCAAATCTCCTTTAACCCCCTCCCTCACATATCCTTCTCAAACATTTTTCCTTTCCAGTCTCTGTGCCTAGTATGTACTTCACTGTCTGTTACAGTTCCCTCCTTTCCTGTCCCCTCCTGAGTTTCTTCCTCTCCTGTCCCCTCCCAAGTTTTTTCCCAAGTTAACTCTAACCTCTCATCCTTGTCTCTCCGATCTTTACTCACCTTTCTCCTCCTCCTATCTCTGATGCCGAACTATCTGCAACTTCTTTGTCCTCTGAAATGCTTGATGCTGTCTCCGAACATGTTGAGGAGACAAAACCAGTGATGTACACCGATCCTCCTCCCATCACTCTTCCTCACTTTTCTAAACCATGTACATGACTCCTTTCTTCACAGCGTTTCAAGCCCTCGCTGCTTGCTTGTCTTCCACTACCTTCTCACGTAGACTTTACTAACCCTCATAGTCCATAGACACCTACTGCTTCATGCTACCAGTATGCTTTTCTTTGTAAATCATCACTTATTTACAGTGGAATATTTGAGGCCTCAGGGGTAATTGAAGTGAGCTTCAGGTGTTTCTCTCCCAGTCTTCCTGCTTGTGTTTGTTTATAAGAACCTAAATTGTGCTCCACTGTTATCCATCCCATCTCAGGCTATACTTTATTGCATTCATTACACTGCATCCTGCATGTACTTGAACAGGTGGTATACAGTCTGCTCTTTGTATCTTTCTCTGTCTCAACCTTTATTTATTCCAGATGCTACATTTCTGGTTTCTTCCTTACCATCACCTCTTCTCTTATTAGCTGATTTTAATGCTCATCATTTTCTGGGGGGGGAGGTGACTGTGACTCATAGCAGTCAGTCAGAGGTTCTTTCACCTCTCTTCCCCTCCATGTTTTAAATATGGGTACTCCCATCCATTTTGATCCTCACACTCTTATCTCTCTATTGATCTCTCAGTTTACTCCTCAGCTGCACTCGACTTGTCTGTGCTTCCAGATTTACATCCATCATTTTTCTATCCTCCTTACTTCCCATTCATATTTTCACCCTCCTCGAAGCCCATGTTGGCAGTTTGAGCGGGTGAATTGGGACCTACACTCGCCTCAAACTGCTTTTAGTGAGGACCCTTTATCGTCCTCTACTGACAAGATGTTACACCTATTGTTAGCCTTAGTTTTAACTATGTCTTCACATTCTATCCCTCAAACCTCAAGTAGGCATTCTTAGTAATGCATGTCTTGGTGGTCTCCTGCTTGTGCTCGTGCAGTACATTTGAAACGTGCTGCATGGGGGCAATATCATTACAATAGGATCACAGAGTGACTCTTTGATTTTAAGTGGGTGGAGCGGTCTCCCAACATGTCATCCATGAAGTTAAACGCACTTGTCGGTGGGATTATGTTTCTACCGCCACTTCGGCTTCCTCTATGAGTGCAGTTTGGAATAAGGTATGAAAATCGAGTGGCAAGTACTCAACATACCCAGCTCCCATTCTTTGGGTTGCCAGTGTCAGTGTTGCAAACCCTCTTGAAGTTGCCGTGAAGACTGGAAATCATCTTGTCCGTATCTCCAAAGGACTCCATCTATGCCCCTCATTTCTTTCCTCCAAGTTGGCCAGATAGTTACTACCCTTAGACTTTCCTTCTAGCAAGGAAGAGTCTTATAATGTGCCTTTTACATTTCTAGAACTGGAGTCAACACTGTTATCTTGCCGATTATCGGCAGCTGGGCCTGATGGCTTTCATATTCATATGCTTCAGTATTTACGTCCATCAGTCCTTGCAGTCCCTTTACATCTCTTCAATCTCATTTGGTCACAAGTTCTTCCCCAGCTGTGGAAATCTCCCATTGTTCTTCCTTTTCGTAAACTAGGTACTTTGGGACATGATACCTCACACTATCGTCCCATTGCTCTTACCAGTGCAGTATTCGAGGTGATGGAACGTCTGGTAAAATAGACGTCTGGTGTGGTATTTAGAGACACAATAGTCTCTCCTGTCGTCAATATGGCTTTTGTAAGGGCCGCTCTACTGTTGACCCCTTACTCTGCTTAGATATGTATGTTCATAATGCCTTTGCTAGTAACCATTCCATTATTGCAGTCTCTTTTGATCTTGAAAAGGCATATGACACTACTTGGAGATATAACATCTTGGCCCAAG